TATATATATATATATATATATGAGCAAAGAGCGCAAAGAGCTTTATTATGTAGAAATCAGTTTATTTTTTTATTTTTAAACAAAAAGTAGATTAAAAGATTTATTTTCTTTGTTAAATTAGAGTTTATGTTATTTGATTACGCGACTGCAGTCTCTTCCTGGGCATCTTGCTTTGCATCCGTCTCCGTCCTGGTGTTATGGTAATTCCAGGGTTGAGCTTCAGCTTTTATCAACCAAACATAGAAACAGTTCCCTATTGCATAAAGTATATAGAGGGGGAGGGGGGGCTATAGGGGCTCAGCCCCCTCCCCACTGGATCAGTAAATCTATGGTCTTAAGGGGGTTTCAGGCCCCAACTGCTGAGCCCCCATGGAAAGAAAAAAAATCCGCACTGAAGGCATTGGTTTAAGAACAATGAAGATTAGAAACTATTTAGATGGAAAGTATAGAAAATACTTCATATTAGGAGATTATTTGTGTATAAATGGAAATAATTCTCAAATCAATTATTAACAGAAATGGCAGCGAAAGTAGAATCCGAGGACAATAATAAAAGAATATACTGATAAATATTTCTTATATAGAATGAGTTACCTATAAAGTATATTATTCCTGCACACCAGAACACAGTGGTCCAAGCCTTCCAGGTATAGCCATCCTTTAGGTAAATAATTTTAACAATATATTTACAATATGTTAACATAACACAGTGGTCCAAGCAAATAATATTAACAATATATTAACATAACACAGTGGTCCAAGCAAATAATACCAACAATATATTAACATAACACAGTGGTCCAGGCAAATAATATTAACAATATATTAACATAATACAGTGGTCCAAGCAAATAATATTAACAATATAATAATATAACACAGTGGTCCAAACAAATACTATTTCCAATATGTTAACATAACACAGTGGTCCAAACAAATACTGTTTACAATTTGTTAACATAACACAGTGGTCCAAGCAAATACTATTTACAATATGTTAACATAATACAGTGGTCCAAGCAAATAATATTAACAATATATTAACATAACACAGTGGTCCAAGCAAATACTGTTTACAATATGTTAACATAACACAGTGGTCCAAGAAAATTATATTAACAATATATTAACATAATACAGTGGTCCAAGCAAATGATATTAACAATATAATAACATAACACAGTGGTCCAAGCAAATACTATTTACAATATGTTTACATAACACAGTGGTCCAAGCAAATAATATTTACAATATATTAACATAACACAGTGGTCCAAGCAAATAATATTAACAATATATTAACATAACACAGTGGTCCAAGCAAATAATATTTAACGAAATACAGTGGTCCAAGCAAGGAAAATTTACAATATATAAACGAAATACATTGATAAATAATTCATTTAATCAGAAACAGCTTGGGCCGTTGTGAAATGAGCATTGTCATATTTGCATGGAAGGTATCTTGAAATTAAGCTTACAGTCCCTTTAAACGTGACATATTGTGTCATCATATATTATCATAACATATAATATACATATATATATATGTGTATATATTCAAATATACAAATATATATATATATGAGCGAAGAGCTTTATTATATTAATACATGGTTACCCACAAAAGATTAGACTTCAGAAACGATTGTATGAAATTTGTTTATTCGGTTTTCTAGTATTCAGCACTCCTGTATGCCAAGTCCATTAGCGCCTGATCCGATCAGTGTTCAGTCATGTGTTTGTTGTCTATTCTGAACAAATAGAAATTGTATGGCGGTAACATCTATGTTAATATCTATCTTATTATCCAATCAGATATGAATCCTCCAATTGGCGCTTTAAGTAAATGGAAATATTTACTTCTACTGAAACTATTGTGTCAGGGTTACTTGTATAGGTCAAAGCTGGTTTTTTTCTATGATGAATCATCTCGTATACCATCAAAATACTCAATTGAATGCAGAAACCAAAAATCAAGCTTCAAGTCCTCATATTTTAGAGTTTTGAGACTTCCTAATAGTATCATACTTTGTGGGTAACCATGTATATATTAATGTTTATCCTTTAACCTGTAAATTGATCACTAATGTTTATCCTTTAACCTGTAAAATGATCCCTAATGTTTATCCTTTAACCTGTAAAATGATCCCTAATGTGTTTCCTTTAACCTGTAAAATGATCCCTAATGTTTATCCTTTAACCTGTAAAATGATCCCGACCACCATAGGTGCTAGAGACCCTACAGCACCTCCAGACATAGTATTGGTTACACCCAACAAGGTTCCTAAATAAAAACTGATTAAAAAATAATGATAAAAAAATTGCAGGCTGCGTCCAGCCTGTTATTTGTCTATAAGTAGAGACGAGTCTCTTTATGAAAAAAGTCTTGCACCATGATAATTAAAGGTATAGAGAGTAAAAAACAAGCTATGTCAAATAATGATTCATGGGATTGAATTAATTATTATTTATCATATTTAATTTTAAAATTATGAGTGTAATAATGTCCTGGCTAATGCATTTTTTAAAAGTTTTGACACTTTCCCTGCACATTATTAAGTTATAAAAGCTTTTTTTATCCACTTTCTGTTGGTAAAATATGCTGTTTGAAAAGTTTTAAAATGTAGCAATGCTCGAAAAAATGTAAAAAAAAACAAGTTTCCGGTTCGAATGTCGTTTTCCTCTTGGATATTTTAGATTCAATCACATTTATGTAGGACAAAATACAATAGCCCCCGGACATTATCTCACGCCCGGGTGGATTCTCACGTCACACCGGCTAGAGGTTTTCTAGGGGTTAAATATCTAACCCGTTGATTTCGTTGATCTACACCACTAGTAAAATAAACTAAAGTTAACCTGCATAGTTAGGAGTTAGATCTACACCACTAGTAAAATAAACTATTATAAAGCTAACCTGCATAGTTAGGAGTTAGATCTACACCACTAGTAAAATAAACTAAAGTTAACCTGCATCAAATAGGTTGTCAAGTACAAGGCAACACAGAATGCGTACACTTTCAGTACAGCTGTTTAAACGTCATAAGTGTCAACTCAAATTTTCTGTCTGACAAAACTATAAATAAAAGTGATATTTTTATACTAAAATGCTTATCTTTTAGTGAAATTAGTGCAATTTTATATGTTCTTTATTTCTGTTTTTACACTTTTTCATTTAACGTTCTATAGACTAAATAACAGGGTTGAAACTGATTTTGTACATAACCCTTTAACATTGTAATTCGAAAGTATAACGTTAAAACGTATTTCAGAAATGTTTAATGATATCTTTGGAGAAGTACTCTGGAAAGGTCTAACCGAGGATAAACCCCCAGATCCAGGGGAAATACAGGCAAAAAGAAACGGTAATTTTCTATTGAAATGTCGTCTTCTAAGGATATTAAATTTTTTTTCTCAAATGTCGTATTTTACTATTTTTGGGAACATGTAAGAAATATATAAAAAAATTTTCAAAAGCGCTTTATTTATGAAATTATTGGAAAGTCTATGTAGATATTATAAACAGGGTGTCCCAAACAAAAATTTAGAGTAGGGGTATTGGGTACTGCAGAGGCAACAATTTTTATTAAATGTTCACAATCATGCTAACATTAGAAATCTTGATATTTCAGTTATTTCCAGGCATTCTTTTTATGTTACAATCACTTCTTTAATTATGGAGCATGAGCCGAAAAATCGATTTCCCAGATTTTTCAAATTTTGATTTTTTACATATATTCATTTTTTCATAAATAACCAAAAAATTCACAAATTTACGTACATTTTATGTAAGTTATATGTTGCAGCCAAAATGTTGGATCTGCAAAGTGTTTTGTGACATAACATGTATATTATATTTAAATTTCGCATCTATTGTACTTGACAACCTATTTGACCTGCATAGTTAGGAGTTAGATCTACACCACTAGTAAAATAAACTAAAGTTAACCTGCATAGTTAGGAGTTAGATCTACACCGCTAGTAAAATATATGTACTAAAGTTAACCTGCATAGTTAGGAGTTAGATCAACACCGCTAGTAAAATATATGTACTAAAGTTAACCTGCATAGTTAGGAGTTAGATCAACACCGCTTGCAAAATGTCCAGATGAAATCGCACCATTGAAGAAAAACATTACAATCTATACAAGAAGAAAAACTGATGAAATTAGATAAAAGTAATTTTATGGACATTATGATTCATCATATTATCTGGATAAAATAAACAAAACTACAATATAAAAATGATGATACGAAAAATTAAATAATAGATAATTTCAATATCAAGAATGAAGATAACCAATAAGTAATAAAAGGGATCGATTAGATATAATCCAGGTTTTTACTAGATAATTCTCTACCTGTAGTGTTATTACTGTGGCTACACTACACCCTGAGTATGGCATTAAAACTATAAGCAGACTTGGTAGCACCTGAGAGAATAAATGTTAAAATATAAATAAAATAGGAATATGAAAAATTTATATCATTTCAAACCGACTTTTCAGAGCACTGGTGCTGATTAAAGGGAGTGTAAGCATAATTTCAAGTGACCCTCCATGCAAAATGGCAATGTCTGATTCACAACGGTACCCTTGAAACCTTTAACTGATCAGTAATGTGGAAGATATTGGCGTTCTCTAGGTTTAAAAGTGTTTAAGTCTGATAATTTTATTTTGTTTTCCTGCAGTAAAAATGCGCTAGTTACTTTTGTACAGAAATGATAATTTAAAATGATATAATTAATACTTGATCAGACAAACTCTTAAGGGTACCGTTGTGAATTGGGCATTACAATCTTAGCATGGAGGGTCACTGGAGACTCAGCAAAAAAAACCTTTTAAAAATGTTGGAAAAAAGGATTTTTTAAAGAGCGGCGGGGAGAAAAAATATTTTTTAGAAAATATACACCCCAAATAAATACCAGAAAAAGAATTGATGGAAACCTGTGAGACAGTGTTGAATATTTTCCTTCCAGAAAGAAGAGTTAAATATCTAGATTTGATTAAGTAACCACTGAACCTGGCAAACAGTACTCCACCAAAGTACCTAGAAATAAAGTACATTTAGAACATAAATTCAATTAAAGGGACTGTAAGCGTAATTTCAAGTAAGACTCTGAGCAAATATGGCAATGCTAGATTCACAGCCGAACCCTTCAAGTTATATCTTATCAAAAAAGATTTTGTTGTTTTTCACGGTTTAACAGTGCTTAATTCTGATATTTCTTGTTTTCCTGTACTATAAGTGCGCATAATTGATTCATAATTGATCAGACAAAGCTTTGAAGGGTATTGTTGTGAATCGGGCATCTTTAAATGGAGGGTCACTTAAAATATCGCTTACAGTCCCTTTAAGATTGATTAAATATTTCTTGTACCTCGCAATCATTGGTAAACCTGATATCAGTCCGTTAGTTTTTATATCCACACCCAGCACGTACTTAAATATTAAATATTTATTGTACCTCGCAATCATTGGTAAACCTGATATCAGTCCGTTAGTTTTTATATCCACACCCAGCACGTACTTAAATATTAAATATTTATTGTACCTCGCAATCATTGGTAAACCTGATATCAGTCCGTTAGTTTTTATATCCACACCCAGCACGTACTTAAATATTAAATATAATATATTTTACGGAACTATTTTGTACTGTATCAATCATAGTCACTTCAGAGCAAATTTCCTTATAGAAGTGCAATAAAGTAACAATCGTTTATATTGAATTAGATTTATAAAATAGCACAATGCTAAATAACTATTTATAACACTGTTATTTTGGTTCGCAGTGTTATAAAGGTTTTGGAAGCAAGGTACAAACTTTAATCTAAAAAGGCGAGAACCTTTGAGATGTAGAGAAAATTTAAATCCAAAAACTTTATAGCACGTCATGCCAAAATAATAGTGTTATAGGTAATTTTATGAAACGTTTGTGTACTTACCTTATTTCAATGGCCATTTCTAGATCAAATAAGCTTTGAAACAAAGCAGAAGTCAAAATATAAAGTTAATTTCAATTGAAGAACAATATTTTGGAAATATCCTAAATTTTTTGGAGAAAATCCGAGAACCAATCAAAACTTTATAGCCCTCGTGCTATAATGTACAGCTAATATAATTTTATAGCACGATGATTAGTTTATAGCACGTTCATTATGAAATTCACGATGAAGTGAGGAAGAAGGATAAAGTACACTATAGTTTCATAAAAAGTTTGATTGGTTCCTGAATTTTTCCCAAAAATAATTCAGAAAATTTCTAGAATTTATTTTCAATTTAAAATAAAATTTGTGTTTACTTTAATTATATTTTTTCTGGTTTGTTAAAAGTTTCTTATACATAGAAATAACCAAGGCATTGTCAAGTACACTAACATTTCAAGTTTCAAGCTTATTAAGATTTTAGTTTTTTTCTTAGCTATAAACATTTCTTGAATTTTCGTTACTGTTTTTATTTGATCATTGGATCAATCTGAATAAATTATGATTGCTATTATTACTCAGCTACAGTTAAAAGTTTAATTATCTAAAATGAGTTAAAAATCTCGCGGATTTAAAAAAAGCATAAAATACCTTTAAATAAGTCGGACCATAGGAAGAAATAGTAATTATCCCCCAGGTATTGCAGCAATCTAAAGCAGTTTAATCACTAAGCACTTTTTAACATANTTTTTAAAAAATTCTTGGATACATTGGGTTAAGTCTGTCAATTGTTTAGGAATTTTGAAATGACGATACCATTTTGAAATTCATTTAACTTGGTATTGAACATATTTGACAATGTTTTTTCGAATTTTTAGTTTTTTGATGATTAAATATTTAGAAATAGGTGACATTTCTAAACTGCCAAAATATTTTTTTTAATGTTATGGAATTGAGTTTGAATAAAAAAATTTACTTTAACCTCTCCAGGATGGAGCTGAAGAAAGGTGTTAAAATGACGCGATTTTTCACCTTTTTCTGAATATTTCACCATCAAAAAAACAAAACTTCTAAAAAATTCTGTCAAATATTGTCAATACAAAGTTAAATGATTTCTAAAATGGTTGGTATCACATTCCAAAATTCAGATTGGGCTGGTTTCCAACTCACTTATATTTTTTGTAGCCTTAGACATCTACATTTTTAAAAATTAAAGGACTTGCTTTTAGCTTTACACTTTAAGAAGTAATTGGAAAAATTTGGATCACTGTAAATACTATTTTAATTCATACTCAGATAGTAAAATAAATCTGAGTATTAAAACGAACCTGACTATTTATAGAAATTTGGATAAATTTTCAAAAATTACTTTGTTATTTTTTGAAGATATTCACCGAACAATTACCTAAATTAAAATGCACTTTAAAAAAGGACTGTACACGAAAAATGAACGATACGTATAAAACAATATCTGATGGCAGTGCTGTATCGTTGTCACGTGATACATTCGGAAATCACGTGACCAGTATACTGCACTTTTATTGGCTGAAGTTCTGGTGACGTAATACGAACTATACGGACTATATTAATTATATTATCAATTATCTATTAAAAATGCAAAATTAAAAAAGGCGCAAACCTGAGATTCTCAGGCTCCTGTGGGATATCGTCGTTTTCAGATTGGTTGCGTATTTGTTGAATATGAATATATTGAATTTTTGTATAAATTTGACACAGTTTTACATCAATTTCTCGAGACAGGAACATCAGATAGATGTCTAATAGGTATCGTTCAACTCCTGAGATTCTCAGGTTTCAGCCTGTACCCCCTTTTAATTTTTCCTGTAAATTCTCTTTAAAGCAGGGTTTTCAATTTATCTCAAAAACATCGAAAACATATTTTTTTCTGGTAATTCAATCAGTAAACATCAATAATCTATGGATAAGTAGGAAGACATAAAAAAGGATAAAAGATAACTAATAAAACAGTAATGTACTGGGTGTACACTTTGCACTAGGGTAAAACATGAAGGGGGTTGAAACAGTTTTTTTTTTGATGCATTCTATGGTACATAGTAGTACATGGGTGATTTGGCCCAAAATGAGCATTTTTTTGAAAAGTTGATCAGAGCAATGCAAGTTGTTTCGTTTTTTTTTGACAAAACCTGTGATGGAGGTCAATGACCTCCGATCCCAAATTTCTATGTGATCCGGTTAAATGGCCACGATTGGAGACTGTATGCAAAATTTTAGCCATTTATCTTAATTTTTAGAACCAAATACAGCCTGTACAAAATTTGGTCTCACCAAAAATCCAAATTTTTCCCTTGAACTACTTGCACCTTAGTTTATCAAGTTAGCAAATATTTTAAATGCATTTCAATACTAAGGGTTGACATCACTACTAGAACCTATGCAGATTGCAGTATGCACCTTTTGATTTTTTCACTTTAACTTTTTCGTGTGTCACCCTAATGTACACTGCTGCACACTATTAACAGTGTATACTGTACATACTGTACATACACAATATTGAGATTTAACAAAACAAAATGGCGTTAAATGTCAAAATCTAAAAAAATAACACCATTGAAAACAGACTGAAATGTAATGAAGGTTTATAAATTTGTTTCCATATTTTTGGACACCCAGTATATTAAAAAACATATTTATTTTTTGGACACCCTACATAAATGTAAATATATTGTTTGCCCTGGGTGAATGTATATATGTTTTTTGGCCCTAGGATGGAAATAAAAT